TGCATACACCCCAAAGCCTGCACATAATGGGAAAATACTTCCGAATATATCATCATATCAAAACAGATAAAGTGGCTCCTGGTTGCCGCATCCAGGGGCTGTTGTCGGACGCAGCCGACGTAAAGGTTTTTATGTTCTGCCAGCGCTACCCTTTTCTCGATAGCTGCATTCCATTCGTGAACTTTAGGAGATACAGCCAAGGGGCTGCTCAGTAAAACAGCTATTGGATAAAATAGCTTGCAATAACTGAAACCTGCAGACAAACAAAGGCACATCCGCACAGAGAGAAAGGATGGAAGACGGAGAATGAGCATAGCGCCTTGCGAGTAGAACACAATGGAATGTGGGTAACCGATTTCAACATAACGCTTAACAGAAATTCCGAAATGCTCTCTTCATTGGGAGGGATCACTTAAGTGGGGGTTTTAGTAGGGATTATCTAGCAGCATAAGCTCAGGACATTTCAGTGCATTTCCAGATGGTGCTGATTTGTTCGAAAATGCGTGAAAGTTTACACCGTTGTGGTTGTGTTTCCTAATGCTCTCATAGCATTCCTACGCAGTTGGGATTCAAGTCAAACACTTATTTTTAACTTAACACTCGACTCCTCGTACGAGGACTAGGCATGCGTAGCATTGGCAGCCACTGGGCTTGATCTCGTTTAAGATCTTACGGATCTTGTCTTAATACTGGGCTTGAGTTGGTGGGGGAGGAGACAAGGCAGTTGACGCTGCGCAAGTCCAATATAATTACAAACTAGCTTACGCGCAAATAACCGACCTTTCGCCAAAATAGTCCACATCTACTGTAAACATTTAGATTTTTTGCTTACGTAGAGGAATGTTTGATTTTTCCAATGAATAAAGTATACAGCTTGAAGGCCGTAAACCCTTGACGCAAATGTGACAGCAGACAGAATTCAAATTTGCTTGGAATTTGAAAAACGTTTTTAAAAAAAAACAAGGAAACGAATTGAAGAAGAGGAAGTTACCTAGCAACTGAGCTCAAGGTAGAATATGTTTGGGCACATCTTAGATGAAAAAAGTTAAATTTTTGAGGCGATCTAAAGTCAATCGAAAAATACACAGAGCTTAAGTAGTCCTTTTAACCAAGTGTGACCTTTGCGGGCGACTGGAAAGAAGTGCGTCCAGAGAATAGCATCCTGGTGGGAGTAAAGCATCTAAGGACTAACCTGTAAGCCAAACAATACTACAACCCCAAACCTTCCTAATCGAAAACGTAGTTTAAAACTTCAAGTAACCCTTAAGGAGAGAGGTCATCTGGGGAAGATTGGTGGTGCTCGTCATGCAACGATCTTCCCTGTGTCGAAAATACAGTAAAGCAACCCTAGAAAAATAAATAGAAGCGCTCACCTTTTGCTGAGTCTGTTGTTGCCACAACCGCAGGTTTCCGATACCCTGTGGAGTAAGCGCCACGTTGTCCGAGGGTCCCAGCTCTGAGCCCGACCAGAGGGCGGATCGATGCTCCGAGGCCTGGCGTTTTGACCTGCCACTGTTATGGTCTGGAGAAAACCAAGGATGCCGAGGTGGCGCGCCACGTCGAGAAGGATCAAGTGCACTGCAGTTGGAGAGGACCTAGAAAGTAAAAAAAGCGTAACCTTAGTCGTGTAGTTACAGTAGTAGAGGCATTGGAACAGCCGTGAGTGCGCTGAGTGCGCAGTGGTGGATGTTACAGATCAGGCATAAGCGAGCAGGCAATTAACAGTGGGAACTGGGACATTAACCCCGAGTCTGGCAAACTACAATGCCTACTGGTTGAGGGTAAACAGCTGCTTTTGGTAGATGTTAGCAAACCATAATCACTGATTCGCACTCGATTCTTCACACCCCAATCGGACATCCGCAGTTTGAGTTCCTCTTCTGTGAACACTACTTCTAAAGTCAACTGCCCTACCCTCGTCTGCTGAGTACTTTTCACTCCCTGTGGATTGTGCTATATGTGCTGCATGCGGGGGCATTAATAAACGAACGGATGAAATGCAAATCGAATGGACGTTATATGGTTTTAAAAATCCCATGATTAAAAACCTTTCAAAAACGAAAGATAGCCTTTCTTCGAGTATTAATTTTCAATAGGAAGTGATTGACTATCAAATGAGTACAGGCTATAAGATGTACTTGAAGTTATAAGGACATCGAAAATCATTTGAAAAAATTACAGTCCATTGACTATGTGATGAAAACCAAGGATGTTTACAAGAATTTGCGGACTTTCGTGAATTCTAGTAACTAAGGTTCGATGACACGCAGTCTTCATCATTACGACATGGGTGTCTGCTGTCAGACTTTGGTCCCAATCCCAACACAGGCGCTCGCGAAATCAAGATGTCATGAGGGTCAACTCCTACTTTATCCTATACCACAGTGACCCACGCGACTCTGATAAACACGGTATGGCCACCGTCCTCTCGCAACAAGACATTCACGCTCTACTCACGTGCAAACCATTCAGTGATCGTCCGATAGACGCGGGACTTAAACTGCTCTTTACTAACGTACCGGTCGTTTCTGTCTACGTGTCAGTTGCCGGACCAACACGATAAATACGTCCTCTGTATGCAGTTGTGGGAACTGGTAAATAGAATCCCTCCCGTGAACTGCTGAGTTTTGCGGAGACCACATTGAAACTATCTGTCACCTTATTGACCGTTTCCGGCTTGGCTGTCAATGGTAACAGAATAGTGAACTCTGCTGACCAGAACCAGCTGTTCCTCAGCAAAACGCGCTTCCAACATCGCCACAAACATCTGCCGATCTCGCCATCAAACTACGGCTCTACGATCAATTACAGTTACTGCATTCTCATTGGTCTAAGGTCTCAAGGCGTGATTTCGAAACCAGGCAATGCCTATTGGTCATACGAGGGTTTCGGTGGCACACGTTTGAAATTTTACCTGCGCACTGTTGGATGTTTGCGTAAACACAGCTCACGTGCAAATGATTAATTTTCCGAGATACTTATTAACGTCAGATACACGCGAACATGGACGTCGTTAACTTCATGACGACATTACCTTACTCTGAGATCCGGCCGCGTGGGTAAGGTGCGCATCTCCCACAACTGAAGTCAACTTCAGGCCTAATTCAAACAGGAAATACCTCCCAGCATGTGAACACCAGAAGGCAAACGCTCTTAGCCGAAATACACTGTCTAGTCTTCAGTGCTAAATTCAGACATCAAGTAGGAGGAGGAGGAGGAGGAGGAGGGGGAGGAGTAGGAGGAGGAGTAGGAGGAGGAGGATGAGGGGGAGGAGGAGGAGGAATAACCGTAATTAATTGCTGGCAAGTTTATTTAGGGACCACGCGACGAGGATGGACAGTGGAGAGGTAAGAAATCCTAGCAACGCGGATAGATATCGGAAAATGAGATCGGGACGGCTACTAGTTGCCCCCTCTTCGCCTATCCCTCCGCCACCGCATCCCAAGCTGAAGACGAAAGTTGAATATGGCCGTGCCTCCTCCTCCTCCTCCTCCTCCCCCAAAGTGATGCCGTAGGAACCGCACATGAAAGAATTTGTCAACAGCTGTGTCGCAGCTGTGTGAGAGGCGCACTAATTCAGACTAAGGTTGACCTCAGTCGGTACATCCAGCCCTCCTTCCCACGGCTTGGTTTTGGTCAAAACGCAAGCCTGAAAGAGAGATGGTTTACGAGGGGGAATAAGTAGGAACACATGGGGCAGAACGGCATTGATCACAGCTGTTAGCTATTTGCCATACTGGGGCTTTCTGTCATACCAACTGCTTCGGCGCCGCTAGCAGTTCTGTGTTGAGAAAACCGCATACACGTTATCGAGAATGTGCACAGAAAGTTTTATAGGCCAAATCCCTCGCCTGAACGTAGTTGAGCGAGTGTATGGCCGCAGGAGAGCATTGCTAGCCCGTAGCGGGCAGCAGCAAAGAGCAAGCAGTCCGTGAGCCCTAAAAATAAAAGCATGCACACACGGGCTGGTGATGGAGGTGGTAGGGGAGTTTTGGCAGAACGAACCTCTTGTTCATGCCGAGTGAAGACCGTCTTCAGGTTCATTATTCCATCAGTGAGATGCATGTGAAGGGGGCGATGTACCGAAGGAAATTTGTGCAGCAGGTCTAACACATTGCGAAGGGAGTCTGCAAAGGAACAAACATAACAAACGGACTTAAACAGTCTTCGAGGGGAGATAAAGGGCGTCTCTACTATTAGTAGTAAATTTTATCCTTCTGGGTTAGATGAGGAGTTCCTCTAAGGGTACTTGGATAGGCTCAAGCAAAAACTGCTGACAGCTATTGGGTTAATGGATACAATTCCGTGTTAAGCGTGAGAACCAAGACAAGGCATACATTTCACCCACATTTGTACCAAATATAGTCGGCGGTTGAGAGCTGACGCGACGAGTAAACGTCAAGAAGCTGTGAGCAGAATGGACAGGCGAGTATAATGTTCCACCAGAAATAGCTAGCAAACGCAGCACACTACAGGTAATGGTCTATTTCTTCTTGACGGGCAGGTCCATGATAGGTAAGACATAGAGGAATTCAACAAGCCCGACGACTTCTATCTATATTTTTGTCTTTCTCAGAGCAATGAATAAATCAGCAACCCGAGGATACCCCTAACTTAACAGTAGGATCTACAGGACACAAAAACAGCTATTTGTTTGAATTATTTATAACAGAGAAGGCTTAACTTATTTAGATAAAGCTATCCGCATGCATGGACTGCTCGTTAAAATTTGGTCAGATAAATTACAGGAAACTAGGAAATAAAATGCATACATATGTGGTAACGTAGTACGCGTTGCACCCATGGATGGGGGATATCGAAACAGCCTTCTGTGAAGGTGAGCTACAAAATAAGCACTTGTTATATGAGACAAGTAAGTAGTTGCCAAGACAACGGCAGTTAAATGCTGTGCGGCTGCAAGTAGTCACGTCGTTATTACTAACCGTCCATACACAATACAGTTCCGCCGAATTCAACTGTGAAAAGGTGAACCTGGACCACTAATAAATGAGTTGTTCTAGCGATGGAAATTTAAAAGGTTGGCGGACATCGATAGATGAAGTTTCTCCGAGTATATTATGATATTTATACGAACGTGTTCCATACTTTCAATAAACGCCCTTTGTTCTGTTAACTACACGAAAGATAGTGACAGACTATGTGGTCTATACTGACTTAATCGAACAATAACCATCGATTTGATTTTCAAAAAAAGTTATATCATACTCTTTACGCACAGTTGTAAATCTAAAAGCCCCGGATTCACAGTGCGCCTTAGGTGGTTGCAGAGTGGGAAAGGGGTGTAGTGACTGCGGGTCAATCGAAAACGCATATGAGCAGATAGTCCGCATTCGCAGGACAGCCGAGTCAAACGACCTTTTTCTTGAGATAAGACAATATTCGGCAACTGGTACTTGGGATTGCGATATTTATAAATAATCAGCCTTCGAAATTGGCAGCATATCAATAATGAAAGCATGGCGATTGTATGGCCTGCAATTACGGTTTTCACGCACAATTTCCTCAATTTAATTAGGTGTTCCAGTGACTGAAATTCGCAGGTGTGTCGTTGGAGCAAAGACCATTCCGGACGGGAAGCTCCTGTCTTTCAAGACAGAAAACGGCTAGAAATTACTCAAGGGGAATTTAAAGTTAGCACTCAGTGTCTAACGGCTGTGAAGTACTACTGGGTCTTTTGTATCACGTTTATAGATGGTATGCTACAGAGCAGATAATTACAAACAACTTACAAATAAAATCGCGCCAAACGCCTGACAGCGCCGAGAGTTGGGGTGTGCAGACGTCAGCCAGGTCACTACAGGCTGAATCACAGGGCGGGATCGAAAGGAAGCCATGACATACGCCGCAGAATCGGAGGCGCATATATTTTGATGTGCATGCTGTTGACATTGGAACCTAGGGGTAATTATGTTCATCACAATAAGTTAGGTCCCGTCCATTAGAGGTAATTACAACAAAGTAAATGAAGGCAAAAATCTCCACACCGGGTTAACTTAAAAGTTACTGACTGAACTTAAATTACAACAAACCACTTATCACCCGTAAATTACTGAAATCTGCAGAAGTCGTATGTGACATGCTACTCGTGACACGCAAGTTTTCCTAATTCCCGAAAGGATGAGCTATCGGGCCGGAATGACCATGTGTGACTGTTTATACAGTTGGGACATTATTTGGCAAGCAGCCGTCTGATTTTGCTTGCACCTTTAGATGCTTAAACGTTTGATTAAAACACATGGGAAAGTATCGAAATTAAGCCCTGTGAAGTCGAACTCAAAGTAATAATTCATCGGAAATAAACGCTTGTTCGCTAGATAGTCGTCCGAATAATTCAGTTGGCATTTTGATAAATGTAAAGCAGTCAAAAAACGCTTGGACTTCGGATATTAATAACAGACTTTTGTGACAATGAGACACAATATATTTTGCACGTTAATTGCATGCATGCGTACTTATTATAGTTTAGATTTCCGGTTCTCGAAAATCAACATAAGCACCAAACGACTACAAAGAATAAACTGCGAAAGTACAATCGAAAACCAGGAGCCGCAGATACAAAACCACGTTACTCCAAAATTTCAAATCCACTTCGTAAAGGTCGAAGGTACGAAGTTATTGTCGAACTTCGTGTTGCGCTATACGTTAATGGTACTCCAGTCTCGAATTTTTCGGGCGGAGTTTATTTATCAACTGAAAATCTACTGTTATTGAAGTTAACTAAGTTAACTAAGATAAAATTGAGTCTGGTTAGAGTGGGTATACAGTGTACGCAATGGTAATAGCCACTGGTCCGGTTAATGGGTTTCGCAAACCAACCAATGTTATATTTAGGAATGCTAGAAGAAATGCATGTTTTATTTTTTGGGTTCAATGGAGGAAAGTCGAATAATTCGACATACAGCCCCGCCTTTTGCATTTGTTTTATAAAATTTTAACCAAATTGGCCTATTTTAGGGGAAAACAATTTGATTTACAATGGTAAAATATTTTAATTAAAAAAGACGCACGTTGTATAATGGAACACGTACCATAGGAGGAATGATGTATTAAATATTAAGACGGATCAAAAATTGAGACATTAATAAGAATCAAAGAATTAAAGGGCAACGAATCAAAAAGGATTCGGAAGAATTTCGAGAGAGAATGTTTCAGGTTTCCGACAAGAGATATCGGTTGCACACGATATGCGTTTAACTACAATTCAGGTGTTTGCAATATTGTATTTTTACGTTAACAGGAGAGATCAAGAAACTTAGTTAAATATTGGCTTTAAAGTGTTGTATAACGTACCGGTTTGGCTGCAGTCAACAGAGCTTCGTGGGCGACCGCCATTGAATTGATGGCTATCCGGATAGGTGGAAACGCCTCCTGTGTCAAGTTAATTATTATTTCGGGCGCTCGATCAAAGGGGCGTCGAGGTTTCAACTGACTAGCAATACATTTAACGTAGGTTAAATCGTCAGTCATCTTTGTATTTAAAAGAATCTGTGTCATCCGAAACAACAGTTCGTCAAAGAACACGTTCACCATGTCAGCAAGTCCATCGCGTGTTCCAAAGAGGTAAGACTGGATTGTGGCGAAAAATTCGACGAAGAAATTCTTGTGTGGCTCATAATTATAGCCGAAGTCGGTTTTAAAGTGATTGTGGAGTCTAACCATAGTTGTTCCTAATGCTTCGGCGATGTAACCTGGAAAAGGGGAATAACTATGACATACGATTAAAGCGTACTTTTGAGTAAAACTGTGTCGTTTTGGAAGTCTTCGGCATGTTTCCTGAAGACAGTTTGTACGTTGGCAGTTAACTCCTGTTCATTGAGTTCAGACATTCTTGCCAGCATAGCAGGCGTGCAGCAGTTGAGTTGATTGCTCTGTCTGGATCTGCACACGTTCTCGTCCACTAGTTAGTGAGTTACCGATACGTATGGAAAGGAAATAAGCTACCTCTGCGAGTAGAA